TTTAAGCACTTGTAAAAACTTTTAATGACAAAATTATTGAAAACCAAAAACGTACCGAGTTAATGTGATCCTTTGTCTCTTACCATACAAAAAATCACATATTTATCTCGCAGCGTTAAATCATAATATTTATAATAGAAACCAATGTTTTTTTGGAAACATAGAAAAATTCACGGTCAAACAAGCTACTACAAGACAGCTCCGCCAATCACTATCGATCGATTTAACTAACTAAATTCACTTCTCTTTTCTATATGTCGTGTTTCCTGCTCTAATAGGCCAGTCAAATTAGAATCTCGAAAAAAGTAAATTTTACCCAGGGTAAGACCTACCCAAAAGTTTTCAAAAAGGTATAGAAATAAAGTATATCTGCGAATTATCCAAAAATTTTGGTTGGAATTGTTGCTAAATTACGTCTAAAAATACGCAAAACAGGTTTTCCGTTGATAACAAAACAAAAAACAGCTTTTTTAGCTTAATATAACTATCTAACTAGTATATCTTGAAACCACATCTGCGTTCGAGATCGGTTTATTTAAAAATTCGACGCTATGATGATGATGATGATCTAACCCTTAGTTTGTCCAAACGATACTGTCCTAAAAACATATTNTTTCGTCGACATAATAATAAATACACGTCAGTAGAATTCATGGAATAAATATAAAAACTTAACTGCAAAATAATACGTTAAGGGGGGTGTTCAAAAAGGATATTAACACATTGTATGATCAAAAATTTACCCTGGTCAAAAGGAATTTATAGATCGGAACGTTTTGACTGCAACTTCGGCAGTTATCTTCAGTGGTCAGCTTGATTCGTAGGTCGAAAGTTGTACCTTGAAGTTTCAGTAGCAACTGAATTGAATCAAGTTGCCCACTGAAGATGACTGACGAAGTTGCAGTCGAAACGTTTGGATCTAGAAGTTTCTTTCAGCCCAGATCTACCTCTTCAATTCCGACCGTGAAGGCCTACACCATTACAAACCTACAACAATTAAGTAAGTACAAGTTACATTTTTGTTTGATTCCCGAAATCGTTAAACTAATTCGTAATACCTAAGTAGGTACTTTATACTGTTGTACTGTTGTTTGGAATATGTGTTAATTCAACATGAAGTAGTTTCAAAACAGTTTAGCGTTCTTCCACGCACGAAAACGAATTTCTCTCCATCGTCAATNGAAAGCATGAGGACGCTATAAATACAAATGTGCAATTCGATAGAACAGAGCGAAATACAATAACACTTTAGAAACATGCAACGGTCAATCGATAGTTTCGTCGACATAATAATAAATACACGTCAGTAGAATTCATGGAATAAATATAAAAACTTAACTGTAGAATAATACGTAAAGAGGGGTGTTCAAACAGGATATTAACACATTGTATGATCAAAAATTTACCGTGGTCAAAAGGAATTTATAGATCGAAACGTTTTGACTGCAACCTCGGCAGTTATCTTCAGTGGGCAGCTTGTATCGTAGGTCGAAAGTTGTACCTTGGAGTTTCAGTAGCAACTGAATTGAATCAAGCTTCCCACTGAAGATGACTGCCGAAATTGCAGTCGAAACGTTTAGATCTACAAGTTCTTTTCGACCACGACCCATCAGCCCAGATCTACCACTTCAATTCCGGCCGTAAAGGCCTACACCATTACAAATCTACAACAATTAAATAGATACAAGTTACATTTTTGTTTGATACCCGAAATGATAAAACTAATTCGTAATTCCTAAGTACCTTATATTGTTGCACGAATTAGTACCTATTGTTCACTACACCTGTAACAATTGTGTGCTCAAAGCTCAAAGTATTGTTTTTTGTAATCATTGTTACATTATTTGTCACATAATTTATTTCTGACACTGTGTACCGATGTTCCCATTAATTCGATGACATTGCAGTTTTGCTCGATATTGAAATGCGGTCCGGAAAATTGCAAAACTTGCAGGCCTGTGATATTCTACATTCGCACGGAACAATTTGTATGCGAGCTCACCTTACCTCACCCGAGCATGCAACTGCAAGAGAGGCATAAATCAGCTTCACCTTGTATTGGTACATCTTAAGAATGTGTACAATTTTACGGACAAATCCCTGATCCTTCCATAAATCACGGATTGTGCGGTTATACATAACATGCAGTAACAAGAGTGAATTGTGCTTTCTTTCTTATTTTATTTATGAGTCCAAATTGCCAAGATTTCGAGCTATATCTTCAACAATGTTGCCAACGCAGTATCACTGAACATGTCAGCCGCAGTTGCTGACGAAACGTCTAGACCTAGACCTTACAGTTTAATTAGACCAAGACTCTTCAGGCTGAAAATGTAAGAAACTTGATATTGGTCACTAGAACATGAAGTTACTTCACTTGATAGAAATATTACGATAAATACGGAGTCTGTGGCGGTAGTATTGACGTGTTTTTCGCCACTGGCATCTTAACTGTCATTTTTTATTTCTTAATTGTGGTACTTCAATATATTTGTCAGTTATCTCTGTTTCTCCAGTTTATTAACTCTCGCATACAATTCTAAAGTAGATGAATTAGGGTTGCAAGCACAAATGAGCAAGATGCTATTTAGATCCAATTCCCGGCCGATGCAATGTGTATCTCCCTTCAGAAAGAAAGTTNTAATGTGATCCTTTGTCTCTTACCATACAAAAAATCACATATTTATCTCGCAGCGTTAAATCATAATATTTATAATAGAAACCAATGTTTTTTTGGAAACATAGAAAAATTCACGGTCAAACAAGCTACTACAAGACAGCTCCGCCAATCACTATCGATCGATTTAACTAACTAAATTCACTTCTCTTTTCTATATGTCGTGTTTCCTGCTCTAATAGGCCAGTCAAATTAGAATCTCGAAAAAAGTAAATTTTACCCAGGGTAAGACCTACCCAAAAGTTTTCAAAAAGGTATAGAAATAAAGTATATCTGCGAATTATCCAAAAATTTTGGTTGGAATTGTTGCTAAATTACGTCTAAAAATACGCAAAACAGGTTTTCCGTTGATAACAAAACAAAAAACAGCTTTTTTAGCTTAATATAACTATCTAACTAGTATATCTTGAAACCACATCTGCGTTCGAGATCGGTTTATTTAAAAATTCGACGCTATGATGATGATGATGATCTAACCCTTAGTTTGTCCAAACGATACTGTCCTAAAAACATATTTGTCTCTTATTAACCCCTCCCTCCCTCGCCTCGTCTCAAAAGTATCTTCATTTTAATACTTTTTGAGGGTTTAATTCATAGAAAATACGCTATATGCTTACTCTCATTTTGTTATGAGGAACATGAAAAAGGATAAATTACTAGGGAACGCTCCCTAAATAGTACCTACACGGCAATTCCACGATCCTAATAACATTTTCACAACAGAAACACCGAAGGGAGTAACAACCGACGCATCCAACCCGACTTTAAGTAAAACTGCAGTAAAGTTTAGTAGCCCGTGGTGAAGAGCGTCATCGTCATGATCATCGACAAAATTAGGGAAAATTGAACGGGAAAGGTATCAACGAATACGGACCCTTCGGCATTCGTCGTCGCAAATAATGTTCCCGATTTTCCCAACTTTGCGGTGGGTGGCGGAGAAGTAATAATTGAGCCTGATTGGGGTTTCGTAAAGAGCGAAAGGAAACTGTCAATCCGTGTCACTGTTTTCCCGTTTCGCGCCGAAAGACTCTTCAAGATTGACGGCTTTCACCTCGAGAGACACGACTACAGGATTCGTTTACTATGAATTATTGGATATAATTGAAGAAGGACGACATTTGCCGTAACGTTGTCCACATAAATTAGAATATAAACCACGTAAGTTGAATTTGATTTACATGTCAGCATATCTCGACATTCTACACTCACTAAAATAGTGTACGGAACGACTGGCCACACGGCTCACACGTGCGCCATCAGAATAAATATATTTTCATGAAATTTTTGTGTTATATGTTGAGAAAATTAAAAAGAATATAGGTGTACATAAAAGAAAACCTTAAACAAGCATAATTGTGCCTTATTCGAGGATAATTCTTTCATTTTTCTGCCTAGTTAATAACCACTTATAATACCTCCTATCATGAATTTTTAATCTTCAAAAGCTTGTCAAGTTCAGAAAGCAGTTCAGCAATTAAACGGGTATATAGGCAATAACGCACTCAATGAAGAAAATCCGATTATATCAAGTAGCTCTTGCATTCTCTCCTTTCAGAGTCCCTCTATTATATGGAAGAATGAAAATCAAATTATTCAGGAATAAACGATCAAAATAAAAAGGAGACAATAACAGTATGGATTGTGAAACCATGACGCACTTTATACACACGGGCACGTAACTGACAAAACTACAAGGCATACGAATATTTCTTTTTTTCAAAATATATATGATACCGGAAATGTATGAATTCTAGGAATTGTATACAATTCCTAGGAAATGTATACAATTCCGAGGCTATTTAGGAAATGTATAAAATGTTGCTTCAAATACTTTTTTAATACACACATATTCTGAGGAATGAATACATTTCCGGTAACATACACATGATATTCTATTCTCCCTTGCAAAATCACTATTTCTCAAGCTTAAAGGGAAATTAATTTTTTTTCAAAAATACAAAATAAGGAAAAATGGAGCTGAAAGAGATTTTATTTCTTAGATACATGACGCTTGAGGATTGAATTTTGTTCACCCTTCAGAATATTTTTTAACGTTAATTGTGGATCGCCTGGTAAACTAAATGAAGTTACTTTCTCGTTTCGATAGTAATCATATGTGTTACAAAGGTTTAAAAAGGGACTGCAATGTATTTCTTTTAAGAAATAATTGGCAAATGTACTAGTAAGAGCATGAACAAAAAATAATGTGGTAGGTACGTCTAATTAATTCAAAAATAGTGTTTTTAAACTCAGAGTATCTTTAACTATAGCTGTTTTCGTTTAACCCTCTATTTACAAGCAAAAAACTATAAAAAAAACTAACCTTTCCAACGCCGGTAACTTCTTTCACCCCAATTCTGCGTAATAATGCGGGTGGTACGGGCGGAGGAGCCCTTTGCAGGGCACCACAAAATCCTGCGGCTTCGGCATCCTCCGAGCTGATCCTTTTTTTTCGGTGCGGAGACGATGATAAATTCAACTTTTGGGCGGCTCTAAAACAAAAACCCTGATTTATTGGCCGAAGGCATTTGCAATAAAAATAATTTAATGGCAAAAGAAGGACCACCTCTCCAGGACCTACATATTTAGCAAAGCAAATTTGTTACTTTTTTGAAGAATGTAAAGCAATTTTTTTTTTTTAAATGAACAATATTTCTTTAACATATTAATAATTTACTGAGCTTACATCAAATACTATTGGGTATTCGTCTTATATTTTATATCTTTATGTTATATACAAATAGAGACTGTGATCGCCATCTGGTGGATATTTACTGCCACTGTATCAGACAAGGCTGTAGCAGAGAGTACTTACTGCTACCGAAATATTTCATATGTCTTATTCATATTCCAGGGGATTTATCTGAACATTTGGTGATATTTCACCTACAATTTTCCACAGTGTTAAATATGTTAGTTAATCTTATTATAACTAGAGTAGTATTTTCTACAAAACGACTTTTACAACGATGTATAAATATGTTTACGAGTATATCATCTGTTAAATGATTTTTTTTTTCGAAATGTGGTGTTATAGGCGAATGATGAGGATAACGTGGATAGAAAAGGTTAGAAATGAAGAGGTATTAGAAGGAATAGGAACAGAGGACTCTATGGAAGTCAATAAGGAATAGGCGAGATAGGTTGGTAGGACACCTTCTCAGGCATAAAGGTCTAGTCAGAGACATATTAGAGGCAGAAGCAGGAGTTAGGAGGGGTAGAGGTGGACCTAGGTTAGATTACTGTTCGCAAATAGTTAAGTATGTGGGCTGTTCTAGTTTTAGGGAAATGCGAAGTTTAGCTCAGGATAGGAAAGAGTGGAGGTACGTGTCCAACCAGTCTAAGGACTGACTGATAATGATGATGAAACGTAATATTATTCTCATCAAAATCATGACACCATTCTATTTAATTAGTAAAATAAAAATCATTCGCGGGCATTAGTGCCTACTGCGTAATGGTTTCGGAATGTTACGAGTTTTGGTGATGAAAATTGCTTCGTATAAATCCATTCGAGCGTGTGATCAAGTTCAACATGCTACGGCCGTTTAAAGTTTTCGCAGAATGATGAAATTTGATTGAGTAGTGTTCTAAATTTTCATAGCACATTAGATTAATTAATCGAAAGCTGATAGGCATTTTTTAATCAATAACGATCGAGTGCCAAACTTCACATTGTGAAAAGGGCCTTTTGAATATAATCCGTGAAAAATTACTTTTGTATCTCTGACTGAAAATTCGTTCCGGTTGAATAATCACCAAAAATGCACGTAGGTGCATACATGTATCAATGCCGTATATGCAGACGTATAAATGAGATGGACTACACAATATGCGATTGGCATTGTTACAGGAGAAGCATATTCAAAATGTTTTGGATATGTCAGACCAATTTTTTAAAACGATATTTATGGGATAGGTAAATCAGTTTCAACTCTTAAAAATGACGAAAATTAACTAAAAATACTCACTGTTTTAATTACGATACCCTATTAATTATTACATTTCTATTTTCCTTTAAACTCGACATAATGTATAAGATCAAAATTACCTCATAATTGAGCCTATTGTGGAATAAATAACGATTGCAACAAATTGAGATGATTTTGAGACCAGAAGAACAATACATTTAAATACATGGGGTTATCACCGTTCGAAAGACAAAAAGTAATTTTTATTTTAAACGGAATGGAATAGATAATTTTAACTTATTGAATGTAGAAATGGCTTTCCTTTTGTTGTAGACATTTGTGAATAATACCACAATATTGCAATTGTTAACTGTTGACCTGTTTGTTTTTGTTCTACTTCGTAATACTGATTTGTACCTAAGTCACTGCTTCAGATTTTCTTTTACCATCGACTTAGGTACTAGCTTTTTACGGGACATGTTTAGTTTTGTATACTTTTCCCTTTATTTGGCAAAATTAGCTGAACTAATAATTCAATTTCTGCGTTACTTAAGATTGCACGAGTACTATATGGAGCTTAAAAAAAATATTTGTAGGTAAAGAGACCGTTGGCACTTTTTTATGACCTACATAACGACACATAAAATGAAAAAGTAGTAGTGTTTTTTTGTAAACCGTTGTTTCGCTTCTTCTATTTCCACACTGTTTTGAGTGAAACGCGAGCTTTTACGTAAAACAACCGCTAGCGGAGGAATTATAAACATTACAAGCCACCATTATTTTTGTGATTATCCTTTGGAAGTTCAGCGTTTTAAACAGGAAAACTGTTACGGTTACACATGTCAGTTACTCAATAGTTCTGACATGAAACATCTGTACAAGGATCGATATTACAGTTTCTTTTAATCCTGTTACACAACAATGTCATCCATTTGTAACTCGCATTCAATATGGCAAACGTGTTTCATTTTTAGTTTCCGCGTTTTTGTTGCTGCTTTTAGAGGAGGGAGGAAGACACGGAGGGGTAAACACACGTACAACACATACAAGAATTACGAAGTTAATTCATTTTCCTCGTAACCACCCTCGGGTATAAGCCATGATGGATGGCACTAGGCACGTTGATAAAATCTGAAACTAAGCTTTTCCAACTTGGGCGAACTGAAGATTTCTTTTTGTAGAAGTTGACTTTACACCTGATGCCCTTTTAGGGCAATTCCGCTGATAACGCCAGACGACCACCACCGCAACTTTATGGGAAATGTGTGACACCAAACGTAGGGGAGGAAATCTGCGAGCTTCGCTACTGTTTTTACTCTAATCCGCTAAAGAAATCGAAAACAAAGGAAGAGCAGAGAAAGCCACATACGAAAACCGCTAAATTTTACACATTATCATATGGTGTTAGGATAGAAACATATAGGCTAATGTAATATCTATTCACCGAGGCTTCACTTTCAGGTAAACTGCCAAAATTTCCCATACCTTTGCGTTACCTGTCTGTTTTATATCTGCAAAAGAGGCAAGTTATACGTACTCTAAAAAATATTGTGATATGAAGGAAGTGGCACACAAATGTATTAGTAAAAAGGGAGTTACCTACTCACTACATTATCAAAATAGATTACCAATTCGGAATTGTTGATTATATTATATTTTCATTTATGTGCAATTCACAGCTTAGAATTAATCAATAATGAAATATGTTTGTGGCATTTCACAATAAACTTTTTAAAATAAACAAAATTAAAATAGAAAATACCACAAATGGCGTGGTGAACGCCATCTGTAGTACGATGCTACATTTTAGGATTACGTATGCTCCAACAAGGTCCATTTAAGCATACGTAATCCTAAAATGTAGCATCGTACTACAGATGGCGTTCATCACGCCATTTGTGGTATTTTCTAAAACGCGTAGTTAAAACAGCAGGTAATAGTTGGTCTGTGTTCTGTCGGAGCTGCCTACGACGCGCTGACGAGATCCAAAAAGATCGAAATCGCGATCCGCGTCTGGCAATTTCGACAGAATACAGACCACTTCGAATTATTTTATAAAATTAAAATAATTTCTACGTATCCCTCTTGTTTTAGAGCATATTTAAAATCAACGCCACGATAGGAGCGCAAAGAAGTTTGTTTCTTAAACCAACATCAACATCTCAATGTAAAGATTACATCACGATGATTTGCCCCTAATATTTCCTTTTAGGGTTTGTTTGGCCACATCGTTATTTTTTAAATGAATTTTTTTTCCAATATGCTGTTCAAATTTAGAGATCACTGAAGAATTTCAAGCATTATTATTTAACTACATTATGTCCTCGTTACATGACAAAGGCTAATAATTATAAATATTTTGAGTCGTTTATTGAGAAGAATACATTCCTCTAAATGAAAGAAAACCGTGTCAAACATCTAGAAAAAAGAAAAACGAATATTTAATTCCTAATTCTTGTTCTTTTTCGGGATGATGTGCAGACAGTCGGGGTTGCTGTTAATTTTTTTTACATATAAACCACCTTTTCGTTGGTTAGGTAATGAGGAAAGCTGGCGAAGACGCGAAAGATTCGGATTTTCCAATTTCACAGGTTTCTGAGTGCGGAACGAACGACTTCCTCTTAGTGCAGAAGGGATGACGTAGGGGTGGCGGAGGAAAATTCAGATAAATAGATAGCTAGACGGATAGATAGATAGAGAGAGAGAGAGAGAAAGTGTGAAAATGCGGGATGTAACGTTCGTGACGTCCATACGTAATCTTTTAGTCAACGTGTTTGTAAAGGGTCTTGTCAAAATATTACATTTTCGAAACTTATGGAATGTTATTACAACAGCTTTGCCTGTTCCTATGTAAATGGATGGTGTATGGTGTTTTGGGAAGGAGGGTGGCGAAATAGTATAAGAGAGGTAGATTATTAAACTGTAGAATTACATTGGAAACAAACACGTTCTGTTGACACAGGAATATTTGAAGCGAAAATTCTATTTCCACGCGCTTCTCCAAAAAAAAAGGAAGACAGGCAACGAATACTTTTTACAATTTTTTATTGGATTAGATAAATTCCTTATCGCAAAGAGGAGCAAACCAACAAAAATCGGCATTGTCAGATCAATTTGTTTTTATTCCTTTGTTTTTATGCTAAACCTTACTTATATTTCCCCGGAGATTTTTAAATTGAAAAAAAAAGGGTTTTTCTTTATAGTAATTCACAAGTACTTCAGGAAATTTTCAAAATGCAAGTAACCTTTACACAACAAAAATTCATGTGGCACAAAAGTTAAATTATATTACACATTTTGGGAAACTTCCCCAGGTTTGCCTTAATTTCTACTCCATCCCATACTACAGTGAAAGTAAATGAACAAGGAAAAAAATAGTATGGAATAGTGCATTGTGAAAATTTACTTTTTGTTGTAGTTACAGTTCAGTGGGGTTTTTTTTGCAGTCTTGAATATAAAAGAATGGTTACTGTCCAGTTTTTAATCCTTTTTTTGAGATAATAAAAACTGGAAATTAGAATCGAAATGATACGAGAAAATACATAGAAATTGTTAGTTAGTTATTAATATAGCAGAAATCA